CAGGTACAGGCTAAGTAATAAGCTACAGACTTCGCTCATCTGGACTTTACTCCTTCTTCTGGGCTCAAACTGAACTTTGCCAGAGAATCCAGTGAGCCAGCCTCAGCTGATGAGTAGCCACACGTTTATACCATAAAAGCCTTTTTAAGTAATTACTTGTTTGATTTCTGGGTCCTACGTTCTGAGCCTTCTGACAAAACTTATACGACTATAACAAAACCATACTATCCTCTCTTGCCATATATAATGTATACATGAAAAATGCAATAGTATTATGCATAACATTATCTGTATTTAGTCTATATGATGTACATGTCCTTTCTAATATGAGACATGTCCTACCTTGAACGTCCTACCTGAGGCTTGATGACAGTTTGGACAATAGCAGGGTGGAAATTTTCAGGGAATGTTGGCATTAAATGAGCACATGGTGGACCCATTTAGCAAGCTATGTACTTCTAAACAAGTATATTACAAATTTGAAAGGTATTTATTTTTATTGATATTTCAGTATGACAGGACAGACATGCTAAGCTTGACATCATGCTACACACTTAGTACAATGAATATAATGAAATACAAGACTAAATACTTACCTTTCAATTAAATTTTACCCTCCTTCAATAAAAGACAAAATGGTATTTTCTCTCAATAGAAACATAAAAAAGAGGATTTCTTAAAGAGTTAGTTACACCATAATATAACAGGTTGAACTGCAATGTAAAGGACACATGCAAAAGTTTGATATAATTATTAAAATGAAAATGACAATATTAGTAATACACTTTTTATGACATAGATTATGGTGGACAATAGACCCGTGTCAAAAAAAACAATAAATTCAAATCGTGTACAGAAAAACACTTGTTACTCACACTGTATTTAGCTGATCACTGAGTTGGGCATGGCAATATTTCATACATCAAATGACAGGAAATATTACAAAATACAGTAAACATATTTTAAATGACTTGTCATCTATTTTCGTGCACTAAAATACCTTGTATTAAATCGTTAGTGGTTGAATTACATTTAATATGTTTTTAAAAAGCAATGTATGTTTGCCTTAGTCTGGGAAAGCTTGTGACAATCCTATGTTAACAGTGACTTCTTGCCATCATTCTCAGGATCTGTTTTCTCCCAGCCCTGTCGAATGCGAGTGAGACTTTTATCCACACAAGGGAGAATAAGAAGCAGCTTGAGCACCAACACAAGAGTGGGCACCACCAAACAGAGCATGTAGCCAGGCGGAGTGTACCATTTGTAGGACGATATGCGAAGGAATTTGTCCCAACCGTACAGGTAAGTATGAAATGTGCAGAATAGCAATGTCAGGTATCCCAACTTGGACTGGAAAACAAAACAAAAAAAAAACAAGGTAAGGTCATAATCTTGGCACAAATATAGAAAATGTTATATTTTCCACTCATGTTTTTCTATCCTGGGACACATTTTGATTTTGAATGATCTAAAAGCCATAATCGAGTAAAACAAATGATGGAAACAATGCTTGCAGTTATTTATTAAAAAGCTTGTTTATTTCTTTCTTATTTAAAGAATTATCAATTTTTTTATTTTACCTAACAGTCGTTTCTCCTTTTGAACCCAGTTTCTTGAGTATGTATATAACTCTGAGACATAATTGTTAACTCTATACTGGTTACATGCAATTACATTTAATTATTTCACTCTTTATTTATTCTTTTCATGGTGTCTGTGCACCACGCTCATCATGAAATTATTGAAACTGTTAACTTTCCCCATCAAATTCAGTTGGCAGAAATAGGGCCACTTCCATAGAAAGCCTGACTTCGGATTGGCGGCTTTTCACTCAACCAGACAAGACTACTGACATTTTTTTTTTGACTCCAGTCAAAAGTATCACTGAAAATGGTGGAATAACTTCAAAAGCATGTTGCAATGTACCTTATATTCCCAGTGGGTGAGCAACCCCAGTCTCTGTATCTCTGGTTTGGTCTGCAGTATAAAGAATAAGCTCATGAGAGAACATGCTCTGGTCTGGTGTGGTGATTGGTGTTGCTACTGAATTCAGAATTGGTTGTAGATCGGTCGACTGACTAACACCAGGTTCAAATTCAATTCAGTTCTAATCAAACATACTTCATTAATCCAAAATGGAAATGATGTTTTCTCATAGTATTTTAAAAAACCAAACTCTAGACATAGAAGCTGGAATGGCTCACCCAATGTGCTGTGAATACTTTTTTTCCCCTTTAACTCTTCATACCTGTTAACTGCAGAAGACAAACTTTCTAGTAGCAAATGGCATATAGAAAAAAAAAATCTATCCCTTTGTATTTAAACCATTAATTCCCAGGAAGTGGAACAATTGTAATTACATGCTCCCAAGAACTGTGATTAATCAGTTAATAAAATGGGCAGGAACTGTACTACAGATTTTAAGGTTGTTATTCTTAACCTCAGGGTCTAGGTTAAGAACAGGAATAATAAGGTGACCTTTACTGAGAGTTATGCAACAACATCTGAGTTTTCCACTGATAATCCTGCATGTGTCCCTGGAGATTATAATGAAGAATGATCTGCACAACCAAAACTTTAGGACTGTAGCTCAGGATAATGTATGCTCCTAAATTATGTTTGATGAATAACTTAACATTTAGAGTTGCCCTAATTTGAGCTGAAGTTAAGGAGTAGGGCGGAGTGAGAAAATGAGCTTGATGTGACCCAGATACATTTATGAATGAGTTTGTTTCCTGCACTTTGGTTGTGTTTTTTCGTAATGGTCAGCATAGGAAGAAATGTAAACATCCAACAGAGGAGAGGAGAAAAGGAAAAAGGAAAATATGTCTAACATACTGAAAAGTTATCCAAATTTCATCCAGCAGAAGATTAGAAACAGATGCCTCAATGATACAACAACTTTTTATCTGGGCTGAAGCACCATCCCCATCAGCCACAGTTTAGGACTTAGTCAGCACTCCTGCCTGCATTCATACTTTAAGGATCAGTGTTTCTACCTGTGAGTTCCACACTGAATACACAACTGAATTAAATATTTTGTGGAACAAATGCAAAATACCTTCTCATAATTGGACACCAAATGAAACAGATACTTTATACATTTTTGTGTTCAGTTTAACAATTCAAGTTCTATTTAAATTATCAGCGAACTGAAGGGATATTTTATGAGAACAACACAGAAAACATGTAATAGAGGCTGTGCAGCTGACGTCAGCCACTAACTTGACACCTGGGACTTCTCCTTGGACACCAAAAACAAACCACACATACGTATAATGTGACCAGTGGTTATTGCAATTTTGATGCTCTATAAAGTGACCTATAATTAATATTTAAAAGAGGCTGCCCTATTATGCAACACAAATGTTTCAAAAGTACAGTGCAGTGAAAAAAATGTGCCCTCTTAAACATTTAAAACATTGTTTTAGATCAGGGATTCCCAAAGTGTGGTGCTTGCACCCCCCTGGATGCGTGAGTTGCCACTAGGGGTTTGCGAGATGCAAAATCTGTTTGCGGTCTGATTATTACTTAATTACATTTTTTACCTCACACAATATAGATGTGTGATGAAACATTTGTTTTGTAAAAACTATTAAATTCAAACTGTAATTTTGATAAGTACGTTTATTCAAAGAAAAAAAAAATGATTTAATCAGAAAAAGTATTTTCGTACGCATCATTTTAAGTTGCATTATAGAGAAAGTTCTCCTTCTACGCATTGTAGTACGCAGCTAATCTTTGGCCTCTTGAACAAACAAACAGCGCTGCCCATAGTGCTGTGACTCTGATCCAGCTATATAAATGTGCACATCATGCCCGCGCTGCTACTGCTGGAGGGAAAATCGAGGTACACACTATTTCAGGACTATGCTCATACACATAGCAAAAGACTTTTCATAGGATAATATGATTCACATAGTCGAAGTTCATTTTGCAGATGCAGTTTTTAGCCAATATTCAGACAGGAACAGGGAAATGGGCAATTGGTGGGCGTGGGGGATGAGGGGAGCTGAAGTATGTTGCTATGGACATGTCTGCCCACCAAATGCAACTGCTGTGAAACAAATAGGAAATAACTTTTTATTTATATGATTTATAACAGCTTTCTCAAGACCACGGCTCTCTCTGTGTTATGCCTCTACCAAGGTTCTTTCTCTCTCTCTCTCTCTCTCTCTCTCTCTCTCTCTCTATCTCTCTCTCTTTATCATAATTGCAAATTAATCAAATTAAACTTCTTAATGTTTATATTTTGAGGTGTAAATTGTGTGTCAGCTGTAGATTGAGAAGAAGTTACATGAAATAAGCAAAATGAGAACACACACAGAGGTACATTGTCTGAGTTTAGTCCGTGAATCCAACTTTTGTAAATTTTAAGGTTTTATTTGGAGGTTTGACAGATCTCCAAGAGGGTTTCTCTTTTTTTTCCACTACACCTAAAAAATTCCATAACATGTGTAATGATGAAAGGGTTTTGTTATTTTAACTGCATTTTTTTTTTTGTTATGATCTGTGTCTGATTATTTGAGCATTGGCTAAAAAAGAACATTGTGTGGTTTAAGAAGCATTATTTTTTTAAAGGTGTAGGGAATTGGGGGTTGCATCAAACTGATTGGGACACAGAAGTGGGGCATGGCTGAAAAAGTTTTGCAACTGCTGTTTAATATCATCGAAATACATTTTACCACCCCAGGTAACTGGTGAAAATATGTTTTTTAAAAATTCACACGATGATTTGATTTTTTTAATGGAATAATTATCTATATCAAGCTGACACTTCATGAAAAGTAATTGCCCTCTGTCAACAAAGTACCTTAGTAAAATAGTAGTGGAGTAGATTGTTTAATGAAAATGTGGGGTCCAAAATTAATGTGTATGTGGTTCAAGAATCTGAAACCCATAGAGAAAAATTTATTCCATATATAAAAAATAAACAGAGCAATTTCCACCTGAATGAAGCTGAACTCTCTCCAGCTGAGAGCATTGCTGACAGAAGGGAGAGAGGAAATTCCCAAAAGGAGATACAAGCCAAATCCCAGAATCCCAATGGAGTAGTATGAGTCAGTTCTCCAGGCCATGGTTGTGTCAAATGGAGATGTTTTGTTCTCCTTGATCTTAAAGTAAATGCAAAGAAAATTTTGCTATAAATTGCTTGACCTCTAATAGAAAAAAAACAAGTAAATATCCAAAGTTAGAAATGCTTCATGTTACCTGCGAGATGGTATGTTGTGCAAGTCTAAATCTTACATAATACCTGGAAACAAAAGAAAACATTTTCAATACAAAGCTTCTCCTAAATAAATGTTTAAATCCAAAATAGTGTCTTTCAAATACAGTACTTATCCAAACATATTGTGAAAGTAATTTTGTGTTAAAAATCAAACATTAATTGCAAAGATGTTGTAACAAGCTTTTTCCCTTTTGTTTGAAATTTTTTTTGTTTTTTCTTTTACCTTAGTTGAACATTTGTTGTCCACATGGTATGTTAGATTGACCATTAAGAACGTAATGCTATGTTCAAACAGAATGCAATTTGAGGAACAGAAGCAGCCAGTTTAAGCAAAGTCTATGGTTGATGCTCATCAAGGCGCTTCAAAAGGTCTTGCAGCATCTCAAGCAACAGTGGCAGTGCCTCATGAGCTGATGTGGGAGCTGGTAGGGAGATGGACACAGTGCTGCTGGTGCAGAGCTTTCAGTATATAGCCAGCAAAAATGAACAAGGAAAAAAA